GTGGATATTCTGCAGAAAAATTAAATAAAATGAATGTTATCAATATTTATTAAAATATTGAATAATAACAGCAATAATTAGGTGGATTTGGTAAATATTATAAATAAGTATCTCTAGAAATAGGGCCATTCTGACTTCCTCACCGCTTGGTGGCGGTAATGCGCTTAGAAAAGGTGCCGCCAATAAACTCAAGAAGAAGAGCAGCAGGTTTGTTTCCGGTCAGCTGGAATCAGAAGCTTGCTGTGATTTCTGGCTCTCATGGATTCAGCGGCTCTCAGATCGGACCGCCGGGAATAAGCTCACTGCACAACCGAACCGGACCGGACGCCTTACAGCCCGGTTCGGATCCGCATGTTGGAACCGGAGCTGACTGGATGGTGGATCTAGAACCTTCTACTTGCTCAGAAATACCAGCAGTTCCTCCAACTTCCTGCTCAGGTGAGATCTATGGACAGGTGAGTCAGGTTCAGGGGAGTCCAACAGAACCAGAACTCTAAACCGTCCTGCTGCTGGTTTGGATCGTTTATAGAAAATAAAAAAAAAGATCCCAAACAATCAGGTCCATCATGATTCTGATCCTGAATCATTGGTTCTGCTCAGCTGACAGCTGTCATGCTGTGGGCTGCAGGGCGGAGAGAAACATGCCTGGATCCAAGTTCTTCATGGGAAGTTTGGTGGAAGGAAAAACTCAGGTTGGAAAGTCAGGTGGAGCAGACAGGGGGCCCCTGAGGGCCCATCTGTTCGATGGACCTGACACTTCTCCTGAGGAGCTGTCCTGATCAAAGACCTGATATAAGAGTGAACCTGACTGTACGGGCGCCATCTTGGGGAGGTCAACCCGCTGCTTTAAGCAGAGCAGAAGAAGGCTGCCTCAGCGCTGCAGCAGATTTTAGTTTAAATCAACAGACTGATGACATCAGAGATGGAGGGAGAACTTCCTGAAGGCATCAGAGCTTTGGAGACATTACTGAATGAACAACAGATATACACTACATAGATTAGAATCTCCCTTTACTGTCCCACAGTAGGGAAATAAAAAAAAAATATCCAATTTTATTAGTTAAGCACTTAAAAAAAAAACACAGCAGTGCTGTAAAGAAAAGTAAATAAATAAGGAAACATAAATAACTATAAATAAATATATATCCAGACGCGGAGCAGAATCCAGACTGGTTTATATCTCAAGCACCTCAGAAATCCCAGATCCATTCAGACTTCCTGGGAACGGTTCCTCCAGTAGAGCTTGTCTCCTCTGGCTGGATCCTGATCCGGATCCTGATCCTGATCCGGATCCTGAGGAAGGTTGAAGGTCGGATCAGGGCTGTGGATCCAGTCCTAGTTCTCTTTCTTCTTCTTGTTTCTGTCTGCAGGCGACATGAAGCTCTGCCA